AGTTGAGTGGGGGAGGAGCTGCGGCTTGAAGGCGGGGCTAGGTTCACCCTGGCGTTTTGCACAGCTGAATGTTTATGAATTTCTCAAACATTCATGGAAGAATCAAAGTCACACTTCAGGTTTGTTTTTGATGAGGGTACAGCCCCTTTGAAAGGTGAACAACTTTGGCTGATACCGATGTTGACGCCAATAAATCCTGCATCCTCGCTCTGCATTCTACCTGAACGTTGGACCAGTTTCCCAGCCTGTTGCCTCGGATCTTTTCCTGCTTCTTGTTTCCTGGATGACGTTATGGACGCTTGCATCCCGCCAGGCTTGAAAGTTGGTAAAATCTCGATCTCCTGCAGGTCGTCGCGACGTCATCGACCAGCCCAGAGACGTCCGAGTCCCTCCTGAACTTCACCAAAGCACTCGGAAAAACGCCGGTGTGCTGCAAGGTGAGGTGGAACAGTTGAGGACGGACCGTCTGACGAGGACGGTTCCGGTCTCTGAATCCCTGTCTTGTTTGTCCAGGACACACCTGGGTTCATCGTGAACCGGCTGCTGGTTCCCTACATGATGGAGGCCCTGCGGCTGCACGAGAGAGGTGCGTCTCCGTCTGCTTCGCCGGTAAAACGGTTGCCATGGATTCACATCAGTTTCTTTCTGCAGGCCACGGGTCCAAAGAAGACATCGATATCGCCATGAAGCTGGGTGCCGGTTATCCGATGGGACCGTTTGAGCTCAGTGACTACGTGGGACTGGACACAATAAAGTTCATCACGGATGGTGGGTATTTACTAATAGGGCCTATAAATTTTACTGTTGTAGTTTGGCCACCACCCAGCAGAGGGCGCTGCTGGTCATCCTTTACTGAGCCAGTTGATAGAATTAAAGATGGCGACTGCTTTAAAAGCCACCGTTGACAAGTAGGTATGAACATCTTTGGTCATGGATATTAAGGTGTTTCACATATTTCATTATTTTCATCTTTTATTTTTCTATCCGGCAATAAAAGAGATTCCTGTTTTGTTATATTTTATAAATATGTCTGCTTAATGAAATGAGAAAACCACAATTTTCTGTTTATTCAGTCAGTATTTAATACTGCTGACACCAAATAATGTTAAAATTCAGTAGATATTTATTTTAATTCACCATATGAGAATTTAGGCCGTTATGGGAAGACAGTGGACCCTCTTCATACATGAGAAAACTCAGGTTTTCAAGAAAATGGCTGCTTATCGGTGAATAGTTAGTCGATGTTAGATAAACTGATTAATCGATAATTTGGATCTAATTAATCCTCTTCCTCCTGAATCTTTAGGCTGGCGTGAGAAGGAACCCGACAACCCGCTCTTTGCTCCCAGTGATCTCCTCAACAAGCTGGTCGCTGAGGGGAAACTGGGCAAGAAGTCGCTAGAGGGATTCTACAAGTACAGCAAGTGATCGGATCAGAACTGGAGCAGCGGAGCCTCCAGGCAGAACGGATCAGAACAGAAAAGTGCCTCTCGGGTCGTTAACATCCAGACCATCAGACCTGATTAAACACATGCTTTAAAAACAACTGAATGTGATTTATTAAAAAAAACATAAACCAGTAAGATGATTGATTACCGAAGCAGAGCTAATTTATGATCCAGAAAACATTCTCTGAGCTGAAATATTTCAACCCAGTGTTTTTCAAAGTGGGGCCGCCAGGGGGCGCTAGAGGAGCCTCAGAGAACTGGAGGGGAAAAATGCAAAAGAATAAAACTTATCACAAAATCGAACCTGTTTTTCAGTCATTATTAAAATATTGGGCAAAACAATTTATTGGAATATTTTTTACCATGCTCTTCTTTCTGATTAGCTGCCAGTTAAATTCATCAAGCTGCTTTAAGTTAAAAGGAATGATGCAGCATTCATGCCACAAAAATGCAGCAGTTAATGAATAAATAATAAAATTGATGCTTCTTTACGTACTTTATAGCACTACCTGTAGGTTCACAAATTTTACCTTTCAAAATTCTACCCATTATTTCACTTTAACAAAACATTTTTCCTGTTATAAGTGAAATAATCTGCCAGTGGAAGCAAAATATTAAGGAGTTATTTATTTAAAACAAGCTCTTATATGTTGCTGAAAAGTTGCTTATAATTTAGTTTAGTCTTATTTCAAGTGTTTTAAGATATTTGCATTAGAAATTTGACCAAAACTCTTTGGTAAGTTTTTGTGTTTTCACACTAAAGACTGCGTCCACTTTCCAGATGCAGAGTTTGGTTAAAAACAAAGTCCAGAGTTTTCTGTTTGCCTGTCAACAGAAACAAACAACAAAACCAGCATCAGGCTGAGATTACGTCTATGAAGTCATTAGAACGTTTTCCCAGTAGTTCTGCCTGCCGTCCCGGTTCTGTGTACGCTGCGGCTCGTCTGTAGTGGTCACAGCAACCAACAGAACCCGACCACTGAAACATCTGCTGGGAATCTCCATAGTTACACAAACAGTCAGAAGAAAGCTAATTTAGGGATTTTGGTCGAGAATTTTGACGTGGATCTTCAGGAATTCTGATGCTCTGGAGTTTTTCCACACCCGGATTTGTTTCAGCTGAGATTTGGAAGTACAAACTCTTAAATTTCAGCTTCATCCTCGGTGAGAAAACCAAAAATAAAACCCAATATGTTGATGTCTACGAACAGAACCTGAAGGAAAACTAAACCGAACAGCTTCAAATGTCAAACAGCAAAGGTCAAAGTAGAGACCAAATGCCAGGATGTAAAAATATGAGAGCGCAGTAATCTTATCAGTTACAGGAAATCTGACAAAAATGAAATAAATTTGAACCACTGAGACGTTTTTCCTCATATTTGCTTGTTTATGTTGAACTTCTAGTTTGCAGAAAAGCTGCAAAGAATCAAAATGATCACAGGTGCAAAACATAAATAAAACCTCATGCTTTTATTCTGAAAGAGGACACACACTCCTGTAGTCCTTTTCTATTTAAAAAAGACTTGAATTATTTGCTTATTTGCATTTTTTGTGTATTTCTAATATTGTATTCAAAAAAGGCTTATAGTGGTCAAATGAAATATCTGCAGAATGTGATAATTTCTTAAATCAGATTAATCGTTGGAATAATTAATGAAATAATCGTTAGTTGTAACCATATAAAAAACATGCAGAAACTATCAGAATTTTTAACCTTTGATCCTTGGATGCAAACCAGCAGCTATCAGCTGATAAATGTGGAAAAAAAGAAAATAAAACGGCATATTTCACCAAAACTGAGTAAAAGAAGGAAACAAGTGAGACTAAAGGTTCTGGTTGGTTCTACATGTGACGATGATTTTCCACTGGTTTGGACCAAAGACTGAAGCTGGAAGACAGAAAACTTTTCCTCCAAAAACAGATCCAGGTGTGGCAAAAATCTTCCACAATGTTGTTGGAGAATGTTTTATGATCCGACAAAACCGGACTGGAACTTTGGGCCAAAACTTTCTGCAGCTGAACAGAAACAAAATTAAGTGATTATCTTTGGACCTTAAGAGGAAGATCTAGAGTTATAGATCTAGATTCAGCACACAGCTCAGTCACTACAGCTGGAAACCAGGATCTGGGTTTGAACCTTCAGAGTCACATAAAGACAGTTACAAAGTCGGCCTTCTATGACCTGCAGAACATTTCTAGGATTTCCATCAAGATCTAGAGAAACTCATCCGTGCGTTTAACTGCATAAAAAAAAAAAAAATCAGAAAGCTGCAGCCAATACAGAACCACAAATCTGGAACAAACATCCAGAAAACTGAAAAACAGCCGAAACGTCGAGTTTCTCTAAGTCAAGGTTAAAAATCCAGATGTGCAGTCGATTTTGATCGATTTGTTACTGGAACGCTGATTAATTTCTGTATTAATTCAATATATTATGAGAATTACTCTTGGCTTTGAGGGTATTTGACTAAATGTAATGTTTGTTTGCTGTTCCCAAAATGTTTTAATCACAAAGCGCTTTGATAAAATGAGCAATTCAAACTGGTCTACATTACAGCATGCAAGCACATTATTCCACTTTTTTATATATATTTGTAAACAAAACTGGATTAAAAAAAGAAATTGTTAATAAGCTAATATTTTAGTACATCACCAAATAACCCTACCCTATTTAGAAGTTGACCAGAAGATGGCGCCGTTTCATCAGAATTACACCAGATCAGATCCAAACACAACATTCAGATTTTTAATGTCTATCCTTTAATCAACCTTCAAATTTATACACAGTCTGTACATTAATGTTGTTTTTGTTGCTCTCCGTCTTCGAGCTTTAAAGCACGTTAAGGTTTCAGGTCTGCTCACCACACGACTCATCAGATGAGACAATGGTGCCTTTTTATTAAAAAAAAAAGAACAAAAAACATGTTGAAACAATTCAAATATGACTTCCTGGGAAGCAAAATGCTCCTCCAAGATAACAGTGACCCGAAATATTAAAATAATAATAAAAAAATTAATTTGTCAAGTAATACTAAAAATAGAGCATCAAAATAAAATTAAAAAATGTTACAGAGATGGAATAAACAACATGGCTAAAAGACCACACTATTAGCTACCAGAGAGAGAAAAGACAAAAAGGTCCATTGCAATAAAAGAAAGACTGTCAAGTGCTGGAGTAAATATATATATCTGCTTCATTTGTCGTGTTTCCGAGCAATAAAATCCTGACGTAGCCTGCAAAAATATCCAGAAAAATCCAACATATCCTGACAGTTTTTAAAAAGTACACATACCGAGCGTTTATGTTACACCGGAGGCGACCCCGAGGTCACTATTTGTTACAAATAGTTATCAAAAGAAGCCGCAAGTTTCGATTTTCTGCAAGACGCTCCAACAAGAAAAATGGCTTTCTTGCGTCCAAAAGCTTATTTTCAAATATACCACTATAAAAAAACAAAACAAAACAAAAATCACTAAAATATACACCGAGAAGATGAAACGAGATACAAAAACAAAAGCATTCAAAATAAAATTCAGTCTAAATAAAGCAAAGAGAGAGAGAGAGAGTCGAAATGATCCATTTTTTTTCTTCGCATCAACTTGGTCGGACGTTTGGTGAGACGAGATGAGATCCCTCCGTCTTCCTTAGTGCAGTCTGTCGAAACAACAAAAACAAAAACAAAGAGGCGTTTGGTCGGGTGGAACGGTCCCCAAAACGTTTCCAGTGAGAGGTCGGAGCGAGGGAGGGGCGAGCGAGGGCCTGATGGACTATACAAAAACGGACAGGTGACAAATAAGTTAGAATAAGTTAGTGCCGGTGGAGGAGGAGGAAGAGGGGCAGGGGGAAGAGGAGGAGTCTGTGCTGCGGGTTTTCAGTGCAGAAGACAGACGGAGGGTTTGGTGCGACGGCGCTCCCGCTAAAAATCCTGATTGTCTCGTTCAGTTCAGTCTCCGGAGCGGAGGCGCCTTCAGGAGGCGAGGGAGGAGCTAAATCTGTCCCGGTGTGGCGGAGGTGAAGGTGGAGGGGCGGAGGAGGATGGGGTCCCGCTGAGAACCGGAGAGTTTTGGGTCTTCATGGAATCTAACAGGCCTCCATCTCAAGCAGAGGACCCGATGATGCTGCCTTCGCTTTGCACGTCGAAAAGCTGTTCCTCTTTCCTCCTGAGGGAAGAAAACAGAAACGCTCAACATCTGCACTGCAAACTGTCCCAGGAAGTATGGAGATAATATGGCCATTTTGAAACCATCCTCAACATATGGTTTAATGCAAGAACACACCCTCAAAGATGGAAAAAAAAAACTTTAATTTCTAAAGAACATTTAACACCAGAAGTGGAAAATATTTAATATCCAAAATAAACAAAGAAAACAATAATTAAAATGGATTAGAAAGTCTGTGTAACCAACACTGCATTAAAAAATAAAATAAAAATCAAGTCATTCAGCTCAGACAGGTAAACAGGCAAAAGTGGCAGGAAGTGCAGATGAACTACTTCATATTATATATAAAATGTTTGCAGTTTTCTCAAAATGCCGATTTTTCAATGATGTTAAAGAAGCGGTGTTATACGTCTTCCAGGCACATGGAACCATTTTATAGCACAATGAAGTAACTATGTTACATTCAGTTGTTATAAAATGCTTCATATATGAAATCTGACTTAAATTTCACTTTGTAATTTAATGCCTTGAAATTGGGCCTCTGTCTCTTTAAGAAACTCCTGCTCTTTCTGAGACTCCGCCTTCAGGAGCAACATGGCTCCTCTATTAACCCTTTAACGACGTTTTAACCAGCCTTGCTCTGAGAAGCAGCTCCTATAATGAGCTCAGGTTATGCTCACCAGGTGTGTGCTAATTGCTGCTGGCTAGTCTGAAGGAGCTGAATGGAGACAGTGCTCTGTGAGGCAGAAGCTCTTAAATTTAGAAACTGCAGCTCTGAAGAGGAGCTTCGTTCTTGAAGTCGCCTTTATGGACGAAGCTCCTCCTCAGAGCTGCTTGGACCAACCAGGCGTTTTCCACAGCTGAATGGTTGCCATGGAGATTAAAAGATTTCTCAAACATGCATGAAAGAATCAAAGCAACAGTCCAGGTGTGTTTTTGATGAGGGAATAAGATAATAACATGATGGAAAACTTGGTTTTACACGATACTGCCCTTTTAAAGTGGAGCATCTGTAACGACTAATGGTCATGCTTATTGTAATTATTAAGCGATTAGTTTATTTATTGCTTATTGTGAAAGACTTATCGGCAGTAAAAAGTCGCTCACATTCCAGACAGACGCGTCAGGCTGAGCCGCCTCACTCTGCAGACTCTCACCGCCATTCCCACCGCCGTCCTCATCCTCATTCCCATCCACTCCATCCATCAGCAGTTTTTTTTTTTTTTTTTTTTTTTTTGGAATTCCGGCGGCTTGATGGGGGGGGGGGCCCCCC